CTCGAAGTGCAGGAGTAGGAACGGGGTGGTTTTTAGTCCGTAAGAGTCTGACACTCCCTCCCGCCTCACCCGGGACAATGAATGATTTTCCCACTTCAAAAAAAAAGTCACTATGTACTACAAATCCTTTGTTCAGCAAATAAAACTATTTGGTTTGCTTTTTTTTTACTACACCCTTGTGGCGACAAATGTCACATGTCAACGGATGACGTCACAAGAATCCTACATTGCACATGCAAAGTTTACATGCAAATTAACACGGATAGAAAATCCCAACGAACAACTGTTGGGCAGAAAGCCCGCCAGGCACGATCACCTCGCCTGGTCGGAGGATTCTCCTTTTCCGATCTTAGGGAACAATACTCTCTGTTCCCTAAACCCTGAACAGTCTCACTTCTAATCACTAAACCTACAAGTAGACAAATACAGTACTACAGTACAAAACACAAAGATTGTAAAGAAGGTATAAGGCGCGGCTGTCGACGGCAGGTATGTAGGTTGTAGTCCCGTTAGCTGACTATTTATGTTTTACTGACGCCACTTACAAGTTAATGAATAAAACAATACCGTTTAGTTTTAGTGTATTTAGGTATTTGTTTTAATATTGCGCTGTTATGGTATCTAAAGTAGGGGGTAGACAGAATTTATAATGCCGCGTGATTAAGGTTAGTTAGGTACTACTATTTAGGCCCAAACGTTTCTTTTGTTGTGGGTGTGGGATAAGCTGGTAAGCGAACAAATGGATCATCACCTGATTGTTAGCATCGATCAAAAGATCGGCGTCGCCCATTGACACCTGAAACACCAGAGGTGTTAAAAGTGCGTTTATACCGGCCTTTCAGGGATTAGATTTCTGAATCTCCAACGATCTTCAAATTCCAAATCCCTGAATCTCTGGATTGAGGCTCCTTCTCAGGAGCGGTAATTAGGCTTCCAGTGACCTCACTCACACAACGAAACACAACGCAAGCGTTGTTTCACGTCGGTTTTCTGGTCGGCCGTAGTATCACTCCGATCGAGCCAGCCCATTCGTGCTGAAGCATGGCTCTCCCACACTTATACCAATTACCATCTTGGGTAGCCCTGATACTTACCAATTACCATCAAGTTTTCCACTAACCCGTTTGTCCCTATCTCCCATAAAAATATAATTTGTCTCAATGCAAATCTTTTGCGCAAAATAATATTATTATTGTATGTTAAATAGCTATAACTACAAAAATAGACTCCAAACACGCGATTTTTATTACATTCTCGAACTTGACCAATTTTTTACTGTAATTGGTAACATATTTTTTTTATAGTATAAGCCGGTAAACGAGCAGACGGATAACCTGATGCTAAGCAATTCGCGCCGCTGATGGACACCCGAAACACCAAGGCGTCACAAGTGCGTTACCGACCTTTTGATTATGTAGTTGAGGATTGTTAGTGATTCAAGGATTAGGAAGATGAGGGGCGGTATTTGGTTTTTCGATAACCTCACTGACACTCCTCCCTAGTCTCCTTAGTCTCTCCGAGTCCCCGAATCCTCAAATTCCCAATCCCCAAAAGGCCGGCGCCGATTGCTTACCATCAAGTGATCCGTCTACTCGTTTACCGGCTTATCCCATAAAAAGAAACAGTATATTTTTTTTAAAAACCTTGCCCCACACTAGGATTTTCTCCTGTGACGTGGTTGCGTTAACAAACATACAATATCACATACACATGACACCCAGACCCGGAACAACTATTTGTGGATCACACAAAAATTTGCTCAGTGTGGGAATCGAACCCGCTACACGTTGCGCGGCAGCCGGTTGCTAAGCCACCGTGCCAACCGTGCGGGGTCGGGGTCGGGGTATAGTATAGTATATGTGGGAGGAAAACGCATATAACATAGCCCGCTCTGAAACCCCTTGCTCAACAGTCTCAATAATTTCCACTCGATCAACGAATAAGTAGATAATTAAACAATGAATTAAATAACATAACATCACGCCTTTTATCCCCGAAGGGGTAGGCAGAGGTGCACATTATGTCACTGTACAATGTAACACCCACTTTTCACTATTTATGTTATGAGTCCCATGTAATAGGGGGTGAGCCTATTGCCATATACCGTGCACAATGCCAGTCTCCGTGCTACAACTGAGATTGTTTTAAAATCCCTGTAATACTATGCCCGACCCGGGAATCGAACCCGAGACCCCTTGTCCGGCACTTGCGACCAGTCGGCAAACGAGGCATAAATAAGCCACATATGTCGTGCAATACACAAAGATACACTAACAATTACTAAGTCACTCGCACAGCACGAGAGGTGTGCCACCAAGTAGGAATCCAAGTACTTTCACTGTCAAAGAGATGGACTTTCCATTTTTTATATATACTACACTGTTTCAGCAGTTTCGTGTCGTATTTGCTAACTAAAATTAGCTGTTTTTGTAATGTAATATAAGTTTTTCCACTACTATCAGTAGCATAAATACAGCTGCAGTTTTTACGCGAAAGAGCCATGCTTTTTTTTTTATTTAAGGGGGGAAAATCATCGTATGACTGCTCCCGCCTGGGTGAGGCGGAAGGGAGTGTCAGACTCTTACTGACTAAAAACCACCCCGTTCCTTCTCCTGCACGTCGAGCCGGAGCCCCGGTTACCCGTTAGGTTCTCCGCGACAAAGAGCCATGCTTAGGCACGCTTAGGCACGGTTAAACCAGAGTGATATGACGGCCTCACAAGAAACTGGCGAGAAACAACCAAATGAGTCACTTAAGGGATCAGTAGAATACCAGCGGAAGGCCCTGTCTTGCACATGCTGAACTGGTCCCATTTCGCGGCAGACTTGGTACATGAACATGTATCCATCAGTTCCTACTAATAGAACGAATTATCTGTATTTTTTAAGGGGGGAAAATCATCGAATGACTGCTCCCGCCTGGGTGAGGCGGAAGGGACTGTCAGACTCTTACTGACTAAAAACCACCCCGTTCCTTCTCCTGCACTTCGAGCCGGAGCCCGGTAACCCGTTAGGTTCTCCGCGATCTGTATTTGTCATTTGTTTTTGGCGTGAAATAAAGTGTTTTTCTTCCTTTCTTCTTTCTTTCTAAACTGTTTGGTGAGTGAGGTTACCAATGGCCCAATCCCCCACTCCCCCAAGTTATAAACTCTTCTATGGGTGTTATTGTCCACGGGCGGCGCCGATTGCTTTAAGATTAACTTCCCTGTATTGTGATAGTCGTGATTTAGAAGCAGACGAGGAACAGCAATTTGTGCATCACACATAGAGTTGTTCCGTTAATCAAACCCACGACACGTTGCACAGCAATGGGTCACCAGCCTCTATACCAACCGTGGTAATTTAGCAACAATTTTGTCGACTTGAGAAGCGTAGCCATTATAGGTTTTACCAGTCACATTTTATATCTATACTAGGTCTTCGCACACGCCGTTTGTATTCGTTGCATCATCCTAAGGTCAGACTAATAGGTAATGGGGTGTTTTTTTTTATGGCATAAGCCGGTAAAGCTTCAATTAATTGTCGTACCCTCTGCCTACCTCTTTGGGAACAAAAAGGCGTGATAATAAGTTAAATCTATATAAATAAAAATTAATTTCAGTTCGTTACTAGCTAAAACTCGAGAACGACTGAACCAATTTGGCTAATTTTGGTCTGTAATAATCGTGTAAGTCCAGGGAAGGTTTAAAAGGTGAGAAAAAAATTTTAGGCGGTCCGAAGTCTGCCGGGATCATCTAGTAAATAAATAAATATCTACTAAACCAAAACATAAGAAGTAAAACGTTCTAATATCCTTTAACAATAGATATTGTAGCCTTGAGAGATTGAAAATATTTTATCCAACACAGAGGTTATCGAACGCGAGACCTTGACTTTGGTGTGTACTGTAAGCTTCGAACAGCCTTGATTGGTAACAAGGTATAAAAGAGTTTTAATTCAGTGATTATACGATTACTGGAATCTATTTTTTATGGGATATGGTAAACGAGCAGACGGATCACCTGAACATAAGCAATGGGCGTCGCTCATAGACACCCGGAACACAAGAGGCGTTACAAGTGCGTTACCGGCCTTTTGGGGATAAGGAATTTTAGGATTGTTGGGCATTCAGGGAATTTAATTAATCAATAAGATTCATCTAGTTTCTGACAGAAATACCACAAAACCTATGTCAAAAACCAATAGATTACTAATATCGGCCGTTATGCCATATTTATTTGCTATATTTTGTGAGACTTTTTAAACTGTTGGTCATAGCGTTTTCGAAACCGGAGACCAGTAAGCTGACTCACTCGGCACAACGCAAATGTTGGTAAACAAACAGATTTTAACCAATGAATCAGAAATTCTATAAAATCGACCAAACCATAACCGCCTGTATAATTATTAATTCGTTTTAATAAAGAAGAAAAAATAACAATTACACCGAACACTAACTTCTGAACAACAAGAGTATGACATGACTTAATGTTGCTCATTAAGTAACGAATGTGAAAGTATGTCTGTTGCGTCACATCTCCGAAACTGCTGAACTGCATACAATAAACCATGCGCCATTTCTTTCTTTTCTAACTTTCTTTGAAGGTATGGTTTTTGAAATGAACTTTATGTAACGCGTTAGTTTCTTATGGTAGTTTCTGCCAGCGGATTCACAGGAAATTGGTATCACCCTTAGCAAATCTGGCTAAGTAAGATTCAAGAAAGGCCATGCCTATTACCCTGCAGAATACTGTCACTAAGCCTAATCTGGCTAAGACTTAAACCCACTAGTGGCTACAACTGTCAACATATAACTTGACTTGTGGGAAAACCGACATGAAAAACAAATGTCTTGTCTATTCTGCCAAGTGTCTATTCTATTGTGAGGAAGATCAAAAGGATGGAATCACATAGAAGTTGTTATTATATATTACCTATATTTTTCGTTTCAAAATCATCGACTTGTGCCAATAATTGAAAAACCACCTGATGATGAAAAGAAACAATTAAAAAAGCACTTACCATTAACAAATTGTATAAATAAAATAAGCAACATGGCGCCTAAGCGTCTAGGCCGCCATTTTATGACGGCAGCCATCTTGTTTTGGCGGGAAACTACACGTAGTCCATACCAGTCCACATTATTGTTCACATCACTTACACTTCGACACTTTTTTATTGTTTTTTTTTTTTGTAATTGTTTTCACATTTAAGTAGTTGTTGTTTGTACCTGGAACAAATGAAGATAACATTAGTTTGGTAAAAGAACTGTTGGTTCATTCCATTTTTATGAACAGTTATTCGTCTACCATCATTATAAATTTTACATGTTGTTAAAAAATTAGAATATCGTTGTTCAGGCAAAGTGTTTGTGGTAGACAGACAAACTGGCAGGTCCAGATTTTGAGAACTATCTTGCTTGCTGCTGCCTTTAACCTATCTATATGTCGCGGAGAACCTAACGGGTAACCGGGGCTCCGGCTCAACGTGCAGGAGAAGGAACGGGGTGGTTTTTAGTCAGTAAGAGTCTGACACTCCCTCCCGCCTCACCCATGTTGGAGCAGTCATTCGATGATTTCCCCCCTTAAAAACCTATCTATATACGTCTAGGAGGGTTAAAAATGTGTGTCACATTCAGAACTTGTTCTCACGAATCCCTGAAGAAGATAAATATTGAAAAACCTAAAGAAGTCTGCTCACATCGAGTCAATATAATCATTTTCCAATGACAATACTTTCTATGTGGAGCAGGCTACCAACATCAGATGAATATAATAATGAGATTATTAAGCAATATTAAAACAAACCGCGATAATATAAGAACTAGATTAGGTCCAGACCACAACTGATCACCTACAAGGCCTACAATCCTACATGCAAAATTACCCACGTGCGAAGTGGTCAGTTATGTGTTTATCATTCAATTGACACCGTGTGCCACATAGAATACCATAATGTTAGTAAATTAGGTAACTGGCTATTGTACCTCACCGGCGCTTGCGCATGGTAAGTAGAAATTATGAATTAGGCAGTGTATAGTCATCGGTTATACAATTTATTTTGGTTTTCACTGCACAGTGTTCACGGATGTGTATTCAAGATTTGATTATGTGGTATGGCAAAAAACTCTTTTTTGGGATATCTACAACTTATGATTAAAAATAATGTATAGGTAATATTTTGTATTTCTGTCAGTAGATTGAAATTTGTCATCGATAAATAGACTACCCAATACAAAAATAATTATTTAATTAAATCCAATAGTTCTGAAGATTAGCTTTTGTTTGATTTGGAATTTGAATGTTGGTGGTTCAGGGATGGGGGAGAATGGGGAGGGTAATTGGGCCTTCGATAACCTCACTCACACGACGAAGCAAGGAGGTGTCAAATTGCAGAGGTATGTGATGAAAAGATATGAAAATTATGTGATATAATCCACTTGTCACTTCTCTAATGTTCCGCCGATTGCTTACCATCAGGTGATCCGTCACTTCGTTTCCCGGCTTATCCCTTAAAAGAAACTTAGCACTAGTAAATTAATCTAAGTGGTTTTCTTTGCCACAGATCCCTTAGCCAAGTATTTGCAAACAAGGCCAATGATTGGCACAAATACACCAATGTTTGTCTAAAAATTGCCGTTATTTGAGAACGAGATTTGAATGTACAATTAATTTCAAGTGTTTGGTCTTGAATGTCTAATGTATATTGAAAGTATTTAGGTTTACTACCGTCTAGGCTTAGGTCAGATATCTGCCTCCCATTTCTAGTGCTTAACGTGCTTTTAGAATAGGAGTTGGACAGGACATATATGCTGAAAGAGGAGAGTGAGAAATGGACCAGAATAATAACGGAATGGTACCCTAGAGACGGCAGAAGAAGTAGCAGTCCTCATAGGAGGTCTTTGTCGAAAGACAAGCTGTTGTAAGTGGAGAGAAACCGATTGCTGAGATTTTTTTTTGAGGGGGGAAAATCATCCAAATAACTTCTCCCGCCTGGGTGAGGCGAGAGGGAGAGTCAGACTCTTACGGACTAAAAACCACCCCGTTCCTACTCCTGCTCTTTGAGCCGGATCCCCGGCAACCCGTTAGGCCCTTCGCGGTTTCGTATAGCTGAGATTATGTGAGTACCTAGTTTGCCGATACGGAGCCGTGAAGAACTTAACGGGTTACCGGGGCTCCGGCTCGACGTGCAGGAGAAGGAACGGGGTGGTTTTTAGTCAGTAAGAGTCTAACACTCCCTTCCGCGTCACCCAGACGGGAAAGGTCATTTGATGATTTCCACCCCTCAAAAAAAAGAGTTTTTAGGTTTGCTTTATTTCTTACCTCTTTGTTACAACTGTAAATTAATTTTTGGTATTTGTACAGCAATAAAGGCTTATTTTATTTATTTAATTTTATTTTAACGAGCATTGAGGATATTAGGATTTACAGTTCCCAATTCTGATTTGTGGTTATATTATGTACTTATAGTTTTTGAACTCACTCTTGCCTCGTTGCTTGAGTGGACAAAGGTTCAACAACCGACCTGGTCCTGGGCTCAGCTCAACTCAGCTCACAGCTCTCAAAACTGGTGAAAGTTAGTCTTGCATTTAAAATAAGCTCCTCCCGAACCCCTTTAAAGAAAAAGCAACCCTAACATAACACAATAGGAGCACAAATCTCCCAGTCCGGATCTAAAAGCAACTAAGCGTGACGTCACGTCATAGCACGATAACTCTGACGTCACTGGCGACCCCGTTCCGCTGCTCATTGACCCATAGCCGCCACGTTATACAATTGTCTTCAAACTGATGTGTGAGGCATATCCGTGTGTATTTTTAACCGACTTCAAAAAATAAAGGAGGTTCTCAATTTTACCTGTATGGATACATATGTATGTTTGTACGTGATTATTACGCGTTTGGTTGAACCGATTTTGATGCGTAAAGTATTTTCAGTAAAGTATTTGTTACACTTAGGAGGAGATTTTAGTATATTAATTAACCGACTTAAATATAAGAGGGTTTTTAAGGGGGATAATCATCGAATGACTTCTCCGGTCTGGGCGAGGCGGGAGAGAGTGTCAGAGTCTTACGGACTAAAAACCAACACGTTCCTACTCCTGCCCTTCGAGCTAGAGCCCCGGCAACCTGTTAACCTGTTAAGTCCTCCGCGGCTCCGTATCGGCATCAACCCTGGGCCCCATCCGTGGTGGTCTGATGACTCTTTGAGGCGCGCGCGGAACGCGATGCGCCGCACGCTCAGGCCTGGTTCTGGTCGGGCAGCGAGCTACCCATACTCGCCTTCCGCAGGCCCATGCTTACGGTGACCGGAGATCGTCCCGCGATCCTAAATGAGGGGGTTAAAGTCGGTTTTTTTAATGTGTTTTATTAAAGATTTATCCTATTGATTAGAATCTAATGGGATGACTTAACGGGAGATAGAGACTTAACGGGTTGCCGTTAAGTCTCTATCTCCAATCTCTCTTTTATTTAAGTCGGTTAATTAATATACTAGAAACTGTTTATTTTTTGAACATACAAATCAAACTGAGAACCTCTTTTTTTTCTTTTAAAAACATTTTCAACCAAAACACCAATTTGAATAAATTACCAAACATACTTGACCAACACTAACGTCAGTTTAGGAGATGTAGTAACAAAAAAATCCCCAAACGGATGGAGTGAACTAGACCAAAGTTATTATGGTGACTCACAGAAGGATGTAGCAGGGGGTTGCGCAAACAGAGACAATGTGTCATGGCGGCCGCCGCCGTTGTGGTTATGAAACGGAATGGCCCGAAGAGGTTTTAACTCTTTATGACATTTACGTTGAATGTTTGCAGTGTTGTTGCTTTTTTATTATCATGAACTACATACAGACTGCCGAGTGGTCGCGAGTGCGACTGTCGAGGCAAGGGGTCTCGTTTTCGATTCCCGGGTAGGACAAAGTATTACTGGGTTTTTAAAAATCTCAGTAGTAGCACGGAGTCTGGAAATGTGCCCGGTATATGGCAATAGGTTCACCACCTATTACATGGGGCTCATAACATAATAGTGAACAGTGGGTGTAACATTGTACAGTGGCATTAAGTGCCGTAATGTGCACCTCTGCCTACCCTTTCGGGGATATAAGGCGTGTAGTTCATAACATGTTATGTTATGTTATTTCATAAGTACAGTTTTCTGTCTGGGATTTTGTCTGTAAAAAAGGTTATCTCAAGGGGTTTCTGATACTATAAGAATATTTGGACTTTAGGTACTGTAATAGGTAGATAAATATACAAAATAGCCTACACCTCTCTGAAAAGTTAATTAAGTTCCAACGATAAAACGAAATACTGAAATTGATTCTATAGAGGTAGTTTTGTGAACCAAATTGTTATCCTAATTTTGTATAGCTCAATTTGGATCCCCAAACTGTCTGTCAGTCGCGGAGAACCTAGCGTACGGCGCGTCGCGTTCGTTCTCAAAGAGCCATCATGTGGTGTAGTAGTCGTAAGATATATATTAAGCATCCTATATTCAATATATTCAGTGTATTCTCGGAGCTCGTTGGTTTCATTACACTCATCCAAACACCCAACCTTACATGGCGACCCTGCCAGGATCATAGCACGGCACGGGGCCGAGCGCGTGTGCTCCATATACGGGCAAATTATTCTAAACAATAAGTGGAAAGTTACAGGCGTCTTTAAAATGAATAGAATAACATCGGAGCTCACGGCGTATACAACACGTCTTATTGTTACGCATCTTTGTTCGTCGTTGTTGGTGAAAAATGGGCGGTTCTAGTTCCAAAGAAGTCAAAGAACAAGTGGTGATTGCCCAGACAGCTGGAGTCGGTAGCAATACGGCTCGTGCGCAGCAACTTCATGAGACCACTAATGCAATTCTGGTGGTTATTTGCACCGTTTTAGTGATTGGATTGCTGCTGGTAACATACAAGCTGTATAACCATTGCCACAAGAAGAAGATACAGCGTTGTGTGAATGAAATGACGTTAAAACGATACACCAGTATCCTACGCAGACAACAGGCACACTTGACTGCTATGCCACAAACTGACAAGTCCAAGGAATTTGATGTATAGCTGGGAAGGTGACAATACGCAGATGGTATCTTCACGACAGAGCCTTCTCAACGTCGTAAGCTGTAGTGTAGTGTCGGTGTCGTCCGAAAATATGTGTAGAGTGCTAGTGTAGTGTAGTGATGTGATCGGTTCAATATCAGTGGCGTACTATTAAGTAAAT